CAACTCACCAAACATAATACACCAAAGAATCAAATATACCTACAAAAATAAATTAACACAGACTCAGTGCCAAGTTTGGTCTTCCAGGTTTGGTGCTTGGAACAGCTGAAAAACCATGAATAAACAAGGGAAACCTGGAGTTTCTGGAGTATCAACTTACCTCTGAGAAAGGGCAAATGTTCCAAAGTGGGATACAACTCAAAAAGCCTTTTTCTCAGAGTGCCCATTACCCAACATCGAGAGAAAGAGTCTATGGATTATTTATCTATTTCTCATTTCCAACATTTGAGTGGGTAATAGACCCAATATGCTAACTCCCCAACTGTAAGTTATAGAGAAAGCCTGATTTCAGAGGTCTCATGAAAAGCAAAGAGATCTAATGGTATCACTCACAGGCGAAAATATGAGTTCTTTTCCATAGTATTATTGGACAGGGAAAAAAAGGCAAAACATTTACTAATTTTAAAGAAAGACTACATAGGGATCACCATAGAATCAGATTGTGTGGAATATGAAATATGCTGTTTAAAGGTCATTTTTATTTTCAGGAGTACTGAACACCTCACCTCATAGAGCTAGGAAACAAGATAACTCCACAAATATGAGGGTAGGTTACTCCTAGATACTCTGTTTCAAAGTTACAAAAGTACAACTCCCTCTCCTTCTCCTCTCTCTCCTCATCCCCCTACCCCCACTGCTGCATGTATCTGCAAAAGATTAGACAAATATTGTCAGTTTTCTCAGTCCTCTTGGAACTGATTTCCTTTTGTCACCTTGCACAGCTATTCCTTTGTCTATACCTACAAAAAGACAATATATTTGTATATTGGTTGTCAGATTTTTGTATAATTCAGATGGTGAGTTTAAGCATTTTAATGGTTTGATGCTTGCTTAGCATATAGATCCGGCTTTTGACTATAATCTGTGATGGTTAATGTTACATGTCAATTTAGCTAGACTACGGTGTCCAATTGTTTAGTTCAAATGTCAGTTTAGATGTTGCTGTAAAGGTATTTTTTAAGATGTGATTAACATTGAAATCAGCAGACTTTGAGTAAAGCGAATTACCCTTCATAATGTTGGCAGACTTCATCCAGTCAGTTGAAGGTTTTAATTGTAACGCCTGAAGTTTCCGAAGGAAGGAATTCTCCTCAGGACTGCACCGCAGAAACCTACCTGAGTGCCAGCCTACCACCCTGCAGAATTTGGACTCAACACTGCAATACTGACTCTTTCTCTGAGTTTCAAGGCTTTGGCCTGCCCTGAAGATTTTGCTCTTGTCAGCTCCCATAATTGCATGAGCCAAATCCTTAAAATCCTCTCGATAGCTAGCCAGCTAGATAAATAGAAAGAAAGAGAGATACAGGTATAGACAGTTCCTGTTCTGTTTTTCTGAAAAACCCTGATACATAACCAAATTATCCCTTTCTTCACCCATCATTCTTCCAACCATGCTTTCTTTAAACATCTTAATGTTTCTTTATTTTGGGAACAGCTTGTGTGCTGCAGATTCCCCTGCAGATGTTCTCTGTGACCATGTAGGAATGACCAGGCACATCCATCAGTGTCTGATGGAATTGATATTTGATCCTCTGCTGGGCCAGACCATGGCTGGAGGACGACCAAGGTCCTGGCAAAGGCTTCTGGGAAGATCAATTCTAAGGAACGTGAATGGAGTGATGAAAACCTCAAGACAGAGAGGTTATCTCCTAGCCCTAGTAAAAGTTTTGTTGACAAGGGTCAGTAGGTGGAATATGAGGAGAAAATGTATCTTTCTAATGCTTTTTCAGGTTTTAAAAATGTGGCTTGCTACTCTCAAAACACGCCTGAAGCTCTGACTAGGGGGGAGGGGCAAGGGCAACGTAACCTAAACATTTGTACCCCCATAATATGCAGAAATAAAAAAAAACAGTTTAGGAGCTGAGAAGGGGTGAGGCTGGGGAAGGGGAGGGAAGAAGCTGATTTGTAGCTGACTCATCATAGTGCATACTATGAACCTATTTCTATTTATGAAGAGCCTCCTAATTTTTTTGAAGGATGGTCTTGATTTTGGACATTCTAGCCTATGATCAGATTATGTGTCAGATGACGTCTTCAGATTTTGTTTGGGAAACTATGGTCATCTCATCGTACTGGTCCTGTGATTACCTTTCTGTCTCCAGGATTTCCTTACCTGATTCTTCCCATTTCACCTGGCTGGCCTCTGACCCTCTTCCTTGCCTTTACAAACGATGACTTTCCTTTAATGCCCATCTCTAATCACACCTCTCAGAGCTGCGGTATGACTTTCATAGGTTCTTGGCACTTCTGCCTTCATGGACCCCTTCCATCATTAAAATTTTTTTTTAAATTTATTTTACAACTGCTTTGGCATAAAGACAAATATAATCCATATGAGAGTATAATAATTATTTTCTTTTTACTTTAAAAGAAATTAAAACATTCTTGTGAGCCCTGGGCACTCTGCCTTCTGTGTCTGATGGCGAGTAAGCCATCCCTGGTACCTGCTCCAAAAAGGAGCCCTAAACAGACATCTCTCCTTTTATTTCCTCACTTGTATAATTCTTATCTCACATAGTTGCCATTGTAATGTGACACAGTGCATATAAAGTCTACAGCAAATGCCCCTAATTGGTAGCTATTTATATTTATACTGATGTTGGTCATTAACTTTCTTTCTTTCTTTTTTTTTTTGGCAGACAGAGTCTGACTCTGTTGCCTGGGTGAGTGCCATGGCATCAGACTAGCTCACAGCAACCTCGAACTCCTGGGCTCCAAGCAATTCTCCTGCTTCAGCCTTCCAAGTAGCTGGGACTACAGGCGTGTACCCCCACGTCTGGCTAATTTTTTCTATTTTTCTTTTTTTTAGTAGAGATGGGTTCTCGCTCTTACTCAGGCTTGTCTCGAACTTCTGAGCTCAAGCGATCTTCCCGCCTCATCCTCCCTGAATGCTAGAATTACAGGTGTGAGCCACTGTGCCGGCCTACTTCCTTGACTTAAATATTACACTACTACCTACCTTTTCACATATGTCTAATTTAACTAAACTGTAAACTCCTAGAGGGCTAGGAGTGTGTTTTAAACCAACGGTTGTCAAACTTCACTATGTATGCCTCAGGAGCTGCTGAAGCTCAGTTCCTGACTCAGGAGGTCTGGGGTGGGGCTGATAATTTGCATTTCTAACAACTACTCAGGTGATATCTATGCTGCTGGCCTTAAAGAACCACTGTTTTAGACAACTCTGTACCTTCCCCAAATCTAGCACAAAAGGAAACTTCCAAATACATTCAGAGTCAATTGTTTAAGCAAAAGGTAATACAAATGCTGGTAGAAAAATTTGCCCCTGACCCCATTGTGAGAACAGTTTCATTACTAGAGGGACTCAGTGGAAAGGGATGAGCAAAGAAATCTTGTTGAAAGAAAAAGTGCTGGTGGCACAACTGAACACTGACTGTCATCTGTTGGATTTCAGGGGCATGTGCGAAATGCAGACAAGAAGCCAAACAATAGCTCGGCCAACTCAAAGCTGCCTGAGCTCTTAGCTCAATCTATAACAATGCCAGCAGGGCTGCTGGGATCCATCTGCTACTCTCTTTCTGATAACGGATCTGGGGTCTCTCTGGAAGGAAATAGCTTGACAGGAAGAAAGAAAGATTAGGCCAACTGAAAATGTCTGGATTTATGAAGCTACAGTTGAACATGGTACAGCTTTTAACTCCTTATGGCACTTTCTGAACCCCCAATAAACCTCTGAGATTCTTTGTGTTGGCTCTGTTTCTTTCATCAATAAAGGTCATTTGTGAATGCCAAAGCTCTCCTGGTCACATTCTGTTTCCACACAAATTAAGTTCACAGAATTTAATGCTGCAGGAAGGCTTGAGATCTTTCAGCCCAATCCACTAATTTTACGGATGAGAAAACTTAAGCCTGGGGTTAATCCTAACATACAGAACCAATAATGGTAAAGCCAGGCTGGAATCCAGCTTCCTTGCTCACCGTGGGGGCGTGGTGTGTGTAATGCTTTATACTCCCAAACCGAGGAGCAAAAAGGTATCTTTTCTCTACTACATTTTAAGGAGGAAATATGATTTTCCCCCTTTACTTCAGTTACTTTTCACAATTTGCCCTTTTGTCCCTGGAAGCAGGAGGGCTCTATAAGGGCGAATTAAGAGAACTGAAGAACACTGAACAGTTTCGGCAGAGCCTGAAAGCTTGAGGGCAGCAGTGACATCCTGGTCCCTGGTCTGTGCTACCCAGAAACATGGCACAGAGTAAATTATCAAAAACCATATGGTGAATGAATGAATGAGTTAGTGAACAAATGAATGACTGAATCACTGATTTGAAGGGGGTTTGCCAGTTTTATAGCCCATTAGGGAATGAACGTTTCACACTAACGTGGAGTCTCCTTATCTCCCACCAGTGAGTTAGTGCTTACATAAAACCAGAAAATGCCTTTTCTATAAGATAGGCAGCGTGTCAGCTGGGAAAGGATGAGCTTTGGAGGTGGAAAATTTTGAATCCCAGAGTTCACTCTGGTTTCCTAATTCTAGCCAAGGTATAGAACCCTCTAGCTTCGAGTCCCCTGGCCCTACCCTACCCTTCTGACTCCACTATCCTGTGTAAGGATTAAACGAGATAATGTGTACAAATTGCCTTGCTTATAGAAGGTGGTGATTAAATATTAGTGCCACCCGCTCCTATTTCCAAGTGCCTGTTAAAGAGTCATGCAGGTATTGAAGTAGGTGGGGAAAGGAGTTGGGAGGACAGGTATAAGTTTGGGTGAAAACAGAAGGGCGTTTTTCAGGTGAAAATGTGCATGAATCATCACTGGAGTTATAGTTATCTAGTAGCTGCTTTTACTGAGGTGTGTCTCACAACAAATGTAACCAAAGCACCTATCATCTAGGTATTCTTCATATTCCATAACCCCCCACCATTTCCCAGGCTTCTAAATAAAATGATTTTTAGGGAAAAAGTAAAGCCAGCTTTTTGCTTACCCATTTGATCTTGGTTTCCTGGTTCTGGGCTCAAGGAACTCTGTCTCCTCCTCCACTTCCATGTCAGGGATCACGTTTTTCTGAGAAGGCTGTGGTGAAAGCATTTCCCATTCATTGTCATGGGCAACAGCCTGCAATGTCACTGCATCCGGGCTGACCCAGCCTTGGCTCTTGTTCCTCCGTGATTGGCTGATCAGACCAGAAGCTTCCTCTAGTGCTAAAGATTCTAGAGGCTTTATTTCCTCCAGAACCTGCATCTGGGGACCGTTGTTCATGCTGAGATCAGAGAATGGCTCCACAGTCTTGCCAGGCCATCCAGGCCCTGAGTCCCTGGCTTCTTCCAACGATGGATCGCTAACCTCACTATGGCCCAAGACCATCCAACTCTGATCTTGCACAGGGCTCTCAAGAGATGATCTCAATGATCTCCTGTCATCTTTGGAAGACATTCTCTCTGCAGAATGATCTTTTCTTTCATTTAGGGAAGCAGGCTGACATGCATCTGGGAGGCTTGCTGATTGAGTTCCCGGCAGCCCCGTTTTTTCAGAACTTATGTATGATTCTTCTAATTCAGATATGCTTTCTCTTGCTTCACAGGCCTCTGGCTTCAGGGGTGAATTTTCTTCATGGTTTACAAGTATGTAATCCATGTGGAGTACATGAGGATCTTCATACTTCTCCGTGCATCTTTCCTCCTTGTATTTGAATTTTATCTGCTCAGGCTCTTTGGTAGGAATTATTTTTTCTTCGTCCAACTCTAATATTTCCTTGCTAGCACCTAGAAGTGGAAGTTGAAGGTGAGAAGGGGAGAAGAAGGATTAATTAACACATTATGTGATTTGTGATCTTTGCAAATGATCATCTAAAAAGAGATAATTTAAGAAATATTTTTATTTTGTAGAGCTGTCTAATTTTCTTGTGCACTATTAGGGGTAGGTATTATTACACATACGCATTAGATCTTACCGCTGCTATACATAACTCGGTTAGGCATGCATTGCATTGCAAATGTGTTCCTGTCTACCCTTATTGGTAGAAAGAATGTGTCTTGCAAATGCACTAGTTTAATCAAAGCATCAGTTTCTTGGGGGTGGAGGAATGGGATGGTTCTTACCATTTGGTGATCCTATGTCTCCACCTGCTGGTGAATCAGAATAATCTGTTTCTACTTCCCAGTCAATGTTTGATGGAGACAAAATACTGGAGCCTGCTTCTTCAGGTAAAGGAACGGACTCAGGGTCTTCATCAATGTGCAGCACAACCAGCTGGGGTCCAGGCTGTCTGGTTTGGGGCTGAGCATGGTTTCCCTCATTTTGTCGATCAGGAAGGGCAGAAAGCACTATATCTGCTGCCTTGCTCCCCAGAGACTCATCCTCTGGAGACCCAGCTTCCTCTGCTGTTTCAGCACCATGGGTAGGTTCTGTGAGATAGGACAAATCAAAGGGAGGTGTGTATGGTGCCAGCGACCGCTTCAGAGCATCCTCCTCCAAAGGAGGGTCACCACCATAGCAGAAGTGTTCAGGCTCTTTCATTAAGTCTTCATCGATATTCTGGCCCATTACTTCACACTCAAAATCACCCCACGAGGCTTCAGATGAACAGATATCTTGCTTCCCAAGGTCCCCATCAATTGGTGTCTCAGGATGGCCTTCTGACAATGTCAGTTTACTCATGTCATCTATCGTTCCTGTGGATGTGTTGAGACCAGAGGCATCGCTGAAACTGTGATCAAAGGCAGCTTCGCTTACGTCCAGACAGGTGTCTGAGGCTAGCAACGCATCAGTAACTGTGGCAGGATTCTCAGAGGCAAAAGGTGGCTCGCTGTCAGACAAGGCCCCTGCACCTGTCTGACTCTCAGGAGACAAGCCTTCTGATACCCCAAAAGCATTTCCTTCCACAGTTGTCTCTTGGTGAGTTACAAAAATGCTAGTCACCATATTTTCCATCCTTGGGGTTGTTCCATCAACAAGTTCCAAAACTGGTGCTAGATCTGGGCTGGTTCCTTTTTCTGATGCTTTTAAACCTGTACTGTTGTCACCATCTATTTCAGAAGGTTCAGGAGAACATCTCTGAGAAGCAGGCTGGGAGGAGCCGTTTATGTCTGTTTGATTGCCAATCGGAGGCAGTGGAATTGCATTTTCAGAATAGAGTTCAGAATTGTAGGGGACAAATTCCTGCCCAGGCTCCTGACTGGGCTCTTCATCCTTCTCTGGCTCAGTGAGATAAAGCTCACTGGACCCTACATCAGGTCCCACGTAAGCACTGAAGTGCTGCTCAGAATCCTGCTTCGCTTCAGAGTCATGACAGATATCAGGGCTGTGGGAAGCCTGAGAGATGTTGTCGTGCTCACAGTGAGTTAGTAGGTCAGGATTCTCCCCATCTGCTTTCAAACTGAAGGGCTGCTTAGCATCCGTCCACAAGTCAGGTGAAGCTGAGGCCAGTTGCCCACCCTCTTGAAAGTTGCCAGGTAAAATATCTGGAACAAAGTTACCTTGGGGGCCCTCACTGGGGCTAGAGCCATCCCATCCAGAGCCTGACTTCTTTATCAATTGAGTGGGAGAACCGACAGCAGGGAAATTTTCTGTGGCAATGCTCAAATTCGTCATTTCACCGAGGCTTGATTGTTCTTGTTCCTGCCAATTTGTTTCCTGACGCTCGATAGTTGAAACATTAGATACAACACATCCATTGTCATTGGGGTGAGGCAGGGCTGGGTCTAGGTGATCCCAGCCGGACAGCACGGCACCCTGATGCTGCTCTTGGGTAGGCATTTCAGAACTGAGTTCCTCGCCAGCAGAAGACATCAAGGTTTGCTCTTTCGAGTTCTTTTCTTGAATTTGGTCCAATATCACAAGCTGGCTAAACTGATCAGCCTCTGGGTCTGGCTGCCCCGGTTGAATGTTCCAAAGCTGCTCACAGGACTTCTCCCCATTACCATCCAGAAAGGGTGACTGATGTTTGTCACTGAAAGGGTTAGTATAGTGTGTTTCCATGGACTCGAAATCACCCTGGATGGGTACACCCCAGGGACCCCCATTCTGGTGTACTGAGGAATTTATCTCTAACACACCACTTGAGTCAGACAGTTCCCCTTCCAATGCGCTCTCGATTGGTCCGCCTTCCTGTGGTGAGGCATTCCACCACTCGCTGCTCTCAGCCGAGAAGCCCAGCATCTCCAATTTAGAATTATCTTCATTCTTTGGTTCAGCATTGGGAGATAGTTGCCATGTGACATCTCCTGTGTTCCTTGTTTCTGGAGAAGATCTTGTCTCCGTCTCCACTATGGTAGCCTGTATTTCAGCCTTCGTTAGTGGTGAAAAATTCCAGTGTTCAGGGCTGCTTTGTTGATTGTCACCGAATAGGTCTGACTTACTCTCAGCTGGTTCTGGGCTGCCTAGGTGGTCAGAAAATTCCTCAGACTTGGGATCAGCTGTAGCCAAGAACTTATCAGATTCAGTCAATGAATCCCAGGCTCTGGGTTCACTCTGAGCAACGTGGCCACTGGCCAGATGGGTCTCTGCCTCCACTGACTCTTCACCACCCACACCATCATCCTCAGAACCTGAGCTGGTTGAAATGACCTTGGCAACCTCTGGCTGCACAGTTTCAGGAATGTCACGTTCATCTTTCTCCTGATGACTAACCATTAGATTTCTTTCCTCGTGTGCACCTGAATATTCAGAATATTTACCTGTTTCAGGACTGGATAAAGAGGATAAGGAGTCAGCATCAATGGAGTCATTCCAAATCTCTAAAAATTTAGGAACTTTGTGATCAAACTCATCCATTTTGTTTTCCTCTAAATCCTTCATTTCAGTAGTTACTTCTGCTTGGCCATCAGTGGTGGTAATTAGTCCAGATTCTTGGCAATTGTGCTCGCTGCAGTTATCTCGGTTCTCTTTGTGATGCTCAGTACTGGGTTGCTGCTCCCAGGAAGACAATACAGCTGAAGAATCATCTAGGTCAGGACTTGATGTACTTGAACCAGTATACTCACTAGAAATACTGTCTTTGTCATGATTTCCAGATGAAATGGCTCCTGGAAGGCTGTTTTCAGTCCCCTTAACTTCAAGATTCTCAGTTATCTCAGGACTTGTGCAACTCACCTGCACATCCCTGTCTAGAGGGCCATCCCGAATGTCAAGGCTTTGGGGAAATTCATGAGGGGGCTCTTTGTTCACTCTCTCTGGTTCTAGGATATTACATTCTTCCATTTTCAAAAGGTCCATTTCAGGTAATGATAAATTTTTTGTTAAATTTATCCTACTTGAAATCTCAGTGGTTCCACCTGAATTTCTACGACTTGTGAGGTACTTTTCATAGGCATCTTTTGCCTGCAGGGTGTCTGTGGACACCTCTGTTTGCACATCACAGGAATCTAGATTGAAAGACTCCTTCTCATACTCTAAAGCTTCCTCTGGTTCCTCAGTTTGAGGACTGAAAGTGACTGAAAGAGAGCTGATTTTGCCTGGTTCAGCGTAGATTTCTTGAGGTTCAGATGCCACTGGAGAAGAGAGTTCCTGGTCACTTTGCCCTTTTTCAGAAATCCCGGAGACGCTGTCCACCCCAGAGCCAATCACTTCCTCCTCGCTGAGGAGCCCCCTGTCAGTGGCTCCGCCGGCTTCCTTCTCACTTTCATTTTGTCCATAGCTATGACCTTTCCACGGATCTGAGCATGCAAAATGCCCTGGATTCTCAAGCCTGGTCACCAAGGACGCCGTATCACTTTGTAGGGTCCCCCTCAGTGTGTCCTGGTGGTCAAGATACGGTGTAAGTGCTCCTGACTCACTGGTTCCAGAGGCTTCTAGCACATCTGGGTTGTGAGTGTCCTTGACATTTGCTACGTGGCTGGGAGTTTCAGGACATAATCTGCTTTGTTCTGAATCTGTCATATCTGATGAGTCCGGTAACATGAATGACGACATGTCTTTATCTCTCATCACGGAATCCCAAATGCTGTTCGCGATCAGCTGTCCACTTTTCTCACTCACTGTGCGGTACCTGTTGGGAGCAGAATCCTCGGTGTGCTCAGCAGAGCCAGGGGGTTCCCAGTCTGCCTGACTGGCTTCCTGATACTCCGTGCCCCAGGGTTCCAGCTGTCTCACTGAAAACCGGGTTTCCAGTTCGGAGCCTTCAACCACGTAGCCTTCTTCTTGACCGTCCCTGGTGATCGCCACACCCCCGCTGCAGTCGTCCCAGTCCAAATCATTGTCCATATCCGAGATCGTCGCCGTGGACTGAGTGTCCTCCAGAATCACTCTGTTCCACGAGTCCAGAGTGTCGGGGCCCGCCTGCCGCGCGTTGGTGCCGCTGTGCAGGAGCGTGAGCTGCCGGTTGGTCTCGTTGTACAGCTGCATCATGCTGGGGTCGTCGTAACTGGACTGGCTGCTTTCCCCTACGTCGTCCTCTGCGGAGACGCTCTGACCATCTGCGTGCTCGGTCTGGAGTAAATTTTTATCTGGGTCGAGAGCGGCATTCATGTCAGAACTATTACCTTCACGAGGTGAAGCCCTCAGGTCTAGGTTCCCAGGCTCTGAACTGATGCGATTTCTAGGTGGCTCCAGCGGTGACTGAGGAGGAATTTCAGCTTCCCGTGTGGTAGCATTAGCATCTTTTGCCTCAAAAGCTTCCTCTTTAGCAAATGGCTTGTTTTCAGTCTCTTTGTCATCTGCAGCAAATGTTGGTGATGTGTAAGAGTCGGAGGTGGAGTAGTTGGTATCCAAGGGGGAAGGCACTGAGTCTTCCCCTATGTTGGATGCACTGTAATCAGAGCATTTATAGGACAAGAAGGAATCTTCCCAAGGAGCTAGGACATCTGACCCTCTTTTCTTAATATTCTCCTCAAAAAGGTTCCAGGAATCTACCTTTTCATGTATCTTCCCTCTAGTGTTAGGATCTACTAAACCATTCTGATCATCCTTTGGTGGCTTAGAATTATTCCATGCATGAGCCAGATCCGAACTGGGATTTCCAGATGCGAGGACATCATCCCTAGAGTCATTGTTCTTCTTGCCCCACATGTGTGGAACTGCTTCGTTATTTGCTTCGCTGGGTGAATTGTCCAGTAGATCTTCTGAAGAAAAAGAAAACCCACTTTTTGCCATGGCCCACTCATTTGGGTCCCTCACAGAAGGTGTCTCACCACTCGTGGGGTGCAGATTCCAGGTATTTTTTAAAGCTTCGTCATTATCTTCTTTACTAAACGCACTCCAGGCTGGGAATGAGGTTGCAGCTGCCGGTTCACTGTCATCTGTAGGATTTCCCCACGGCCCAGGCATCACTGTGGGGGAGTGACCAGAATGCCACAAAGCAGCAAAGTCTTCTATCAGGTGGTTTGTTCCCTGAGGAACATCTGGCAAATGTGATTTCTCTGTGGGCAGGTTCTGAAACTGCAAGCTTTCCTCATTTTGATCTTGATTATCATTGCTACCCAGTTTAGGTGGACCAAATTCAGACTCCCAGGGACCTGATTTTGGGAATTCAAGACTCTTTGGTTGAAATACAGAATCTGAGGCCCTCCTATCAACTGAGCTTGACTTATGATCTTTCCACGATTCTGGGCTCTGGAAGACAGATTCCTGTTCACTGGAACTCCAAGCATCTGCAATATTTTTGGAGTCAATTTCCAAACCACCCCACCAGCTGCGACACCGTGCACGGGTCTGAGGTGGCTCCGTGTGACCTGTGTTGATTGCTTTTTGGGCCATATCTTCTGGATAGAGTGAGTCTGGTTCTTCAGTGGATGGTGAACTTTCTACAAAGCTATTCCTGGGTGTTGGTGGGATCCTCTTTCCAATATTTTTTAGCCTTTCTGGTGAAGGAGAACCATCTCCCACAAAACCTGTCAGGCTCAAATTTCTTTCAGAGTTATCTCCAGGACTTTCTTGTCTTGGAACAAACTCGTCGTCAAATGCTGCAAGGCTATCTTTGCCAGCACCTGACAAGAGAGAACTGGATGAATGGTTAGACATGTTGATCCCTGTCCCATCAAGTCCTTTAGGTCCAGCAGGGAGCTGTCCTTCTGACAAATCACTGTTGGGGAAGAAGTCATCTGCCGGGGAGTAGTCTGCAGAATGGGAAGATGGTTGGGACTGCCCAGAAGCCATGGGTGCTGGGTCAAAGTTGAAGAGGTCAAAGTGTTCACTGTGTTCTCCGGACCGTGCATTCTCTTCTGCTACTGGACCTTCGGGGATGGGACTGTAGGAGTCAAGCCCTGGGAGGAGGGTGTGGTGAGGCCCAGCTCCTTCTCCCACTGGGCTGTCATCACTGAGGAAAACTGAGCTCTCCTTGGATGAACGGCTGCTCCTGATGGTGGCCAACCCGCTGTCTGGGCTAACAAGGTCTATGTTAGCATCCACCTGAGCCTGGTTCGAATCGTTGAGATCTGGAGGGTTTTCGATGAAATTCACAGAGCTGGGCTGTGGCTCTACGTCAGAACCATACAACTCCACAATCCCAGAAGATCCCTGGGAGAGGGGGGCGCTGCCTGCCACTGCTTCTGTTGAGGACGTCCGGCTGTTGGAGACCATCTCTGAACACCTCCTGTTGATAACTTCCTTGACAAGGAGAACCACCTGATCAGGAGTCACTGAAGGGTCCTCCTGCTGGTACACCAGGATCTCGTCACAGCCACAGTCAAAGGGCTCCAGTTCTAGGCAAGGGTTCTGACTCTCTTCCAGCTCACAGCAGATCTGTCAGGAGGCACAGGGGTTTGTGTGAGCACTCAGGCAGTCTTTGCACTCTGTGATTTTTTTTGTTGTTAATTTTTTAAAATATAAAATTAATCCGTGCTTATCTATTTAAAATGAAGACGTCAGACAATGGAGAATTATATAATGTAAAACACGGAAAGTCCCACTTAATATACCACCAACCCTTCCCCAATCCTACCAAAATGTCTTTTTGTTTAACTCAAAATCCAGCTGCTCAATTTTGGTGGCTCCTGAAAGTTATGGATAAAGAGCCACAGCCCAGTTCTGGCCTCGCACTGGACATTCATCATCTAACTTCTTTTCCTCAGTGTAATATAATACCATCTTTCAACAGCAGTGTAACTTAAGTTTGCAAAAAAGCAGAGAATGCTGGTCGCTGATGAGAACTATGGGCAAACTGTTGGAACAGGGGGAAATGGGGAGGAGAGAGGCTCTTGTTTAGGGTCAGGTAGCCAGATCTGCTTTAACCTCCGATGGCCTCATATGGCAAAGGAGAAAATAGGAAAGACAAAGAAGACACCAGGGGCCCAAACAGCACTCAGGTCCCGGCTGTCCCTTCCTGCCCCGGGGGACACACACATGGAGCTCAGAACAGACAAGCGACCTGACAGGCAGGGGCCGCTGTGATGGATGGTCAGTGCCAGGCCAGAACTGGGCTGTGGCTCTCTGATCTTAAGGAAACATTAGGAGTATTTTTCCACCCTGGGCCTTTGAAGTGGCCCCACAGGATTAGTGGAGGTAAAAATAAAAGCAATAATAGCCACCACCACCACGGCAGTGCTCACATAGGTAGTGAGCATCATCACGACAATAATAATTAACACTGAGTGCTTTCACATGTTAGACATGGTTCTAAGGGTTTTACAAGAATTATCTCCTTTAATCCTCATAGTAATTCTACAAGGTAGGGACTCTTTTTAACCCTATTTTATTGATGAGGAAATGAAAACACGGAAAGGTTAAATAACTTGTCCAACAAGTGAGGAAGCCTGAGTTCTGAATTCAGGTGGTCGAGCTGCAGAGGCCAACTCCTAGCCAATCGTGTGACCACACAGACAATGTGGGATCCCCTTGGCACAGAGTCTGGCCCTGTCTACATTGCTCCACACTCAGAGGAGCTGCCTTCAGCTATTGCTAGGGTGTGGCAGGCATGGGAGGGTGGTGGTGGCTCTTCTACTTTTGTCTATTTTATTTTTTTTATTTTTATTTTTCTGAGACAGAATCTCACTCTGTTGCCCTGAGTAGAGTGCCGTGGTGTCAGCTTAGCTCACTGCAACCTCAAACTCCTGGGCTCAAGCAAGCCTCCTGCCTCAGCCTCCAGAGTAACTGGGACTATAGGTGCTCTTCACGACACCCGGCTAATTTTTCTATTTTTAGTAGAGATGGGGGTCTCGCTCTTGTTCAGGCTGGTCTTGAACTCCTGACCTCAAGTGATCCTCCCGCCTCAGCCTCCCAGAGTGCTAGGATTACAGGAGGGAGCCACCGTGCCCGGCCTACTTTTGTCTATTTTAAATGGACCAGTTTTTAAGTTGGTTTGAAAAAGGGCTTTGCTGCTAAAAGTGATTTGAAAGCCACCATACTGGGGGCTTAGAAGGCCTAAATCCCGTCCCTGGGAAGCCAGTGACTAAAAATTAATTAATATACCACCACCCCTTTTTAGCTTTGAAAACCAAATGCAGAGTAAAGCATTGAAAATGCCACAGGCTGGTGATCCCAGGCACAAATGCATGTGGGTCAGAGAAGCAGCTGCAAAATGTACCCACGGCAAGAGCAGGGTCTCTCACGTTTGGACTTGAGACAGCAGAGAGAGCCTAAGAGAACTGACAGCCACATGTCAAAAGAGACAAGAGCTCTTGGAGGACAGAAAGGAAGATGTAGAAAAGAAATGAGTAGAGACTTTGCCTCTAGCCACCCATGGATACACCAGGCATCTGATTCATCAGTGAGGAAAGATGAATGATGAAAGTGTTCTGTACTCATGTTGTTCGTATTATAATAAATCGTGTACATTCTCATATTAGTTGTTAAGTATACCTGGTTTGATATATCCAGTGCCCTGTGTTAATTAATTTTCTCTAATTCTTTTTTTGTTTCCTAGATCTTGGGTTAAAAAACTCAGTTATCAACCTACAGAATCCAATTAATTACTTAGAGTTCTAGTATGTGGAGACAAACTGACTTTGATTAAAGCACCAGATCACCAGTTCCTAATCACTAGGCACCAAATTGGTATTGAGAAAGGAACTAAAGCTTGTTAGTTATTACCAACTTAATAGAAATTAATAGACTTAAAAGGAAACAGCACCCAAAGGAGAACTTGCCCTCGTTTGGCTGAGAAAGATCTGATCTTTCACTCTATGGATTCAGTCTAGAAGAGAAATGCTAATGGGGCTTTTTAAAAAGGTCCAATGTGCAAAATATCCCCAATATTTCCTAAAACTCAAACCTCTAGGACCTTATCTCTTGGGCCAATTTTTTTTTTTGTTTTTTGAGACAGACTCTTGCCCTGGCTAGAGTGCAGTGGCATCACAACAGCTCACTGCAACCTCGAACTCCTGGGCTTGAGTGATCCCCCTGCCTCAGCCTCCCAAGTAGCTGGGACTACAGGTACCCACCACCACACCCAAATAGTTTTCCTGTTTTTCGTAGAGACGGGGTCTCACTCTTGCTCAAGCTGGTCTTGAACTCCTGAGCACAAGTGATCCTCCCGTCTTGTCCTCCCAGCATGCTAGGGTTACAGGAATGAGCCACCTTGCCCAGCTGCCAATTCCTTATATGCCACCACCTGCCCCTGTCTTGCAATGCACGTTCTGAGAGCCAGTAGGTTCGGATGCAGTGAAAGCTGTCAGGGTTGGAGGAGGTGCTCACCTGACTGCATAGCTCTAGGTTCTCAGAGTACACAGCGATCTGTCGTCTTGGCTGCTGCTCCTCTGACAGGTAGCTGGCGAACAGGATGAGGACATCAAAACCAAATTTGTCTGTAAATGCTTTTAAATCACTGGTGATATTGCTGTGAAACAGACAATTCTGAAACAAAAGAAAATTTTATATTAATGTCAAACTGCCCAGCTGTGGGGAGGTTTGCCACAAATTTGTCCAGTCTTATAACATATTAGGACAGATATTTATTATTAGAGGCAAGTGAAATAAACAGTTGGCTTTGAACAAGTTTGGAAACTTTCTTGCTGTGGTTTAAAATACACTTTGCTTGCTTGTTTTCCCAATCCAAGTAAAGAAGGCGTTTTGCCATTATTATTAAGAATGGTTTAGACAAAGAACAAATATCTTAACATTTTTGCCTAAAATATTTATTTAAATACCTACTCTAGAAAGTATATTTTCCCTCCTATCACTAATAAGATCTATGCACGAACGTCTGCTATTATTACAATTCATCACTAGGAAAGTAGGAGGTAGTTATTGTTCTTTCCTATAATTTTGTTTTCTGATGATTATTATTAACATCAGGCAGAAATTCCTAGGAACGAACTTAGCTGAGTTTACTGAGTAATTTGTATTCCAACGTAGAAATCTGGGAGATTTTAAAAGGAGCTGCGATGTCAGATTTGCTTGCTCTGTGTGGCAGCTATAGAGGAATGAATAATTGCAGAAAGGACACCCACTACTTCAGAACACCCAGACCTGTGGCTCACATTATTCACATAAAATGCACTGGCCTCTTAGAGTTTTATTAACTGCAGTGAGAACCATTTTGTCTGCATGGCTGTCTCTCTTCCTTAAAGAAGTATAGGTAAAGACCACATGCTAGCCCCAACATAATGCCTGGCATATACTGGTTGTTCAAGCAATGTTTGTTGCATGACTGGAGAGATATATACACAAAATCAACCTGTGCTACATACTCTATAATCCTCTATCATAGCATGTATACATATATATCAGAGCACATATGTGATCATCATATGTAATCAATCAACTGAGTCTTTTGTGCTATTGGTGAAAGACACCATGATGTGCACTCAAGAGATAAAGAATTCTGTCCATTTTTTTCTGATTGTAATAGCAATCAGAATTATGTCTGCCACTGGTAAGATACTAAGGCAACACAGAAATGCATACCATAGAAAGCGGAAGTGCCACACACTTCCCCTAAGACAGCCACTGTGAAGGTCTGAGCAGTGCGGACAGTCGCAGATTTTCCATACCCACATTAATCCATGCTTTGAAGTTTGTGGATTGGGTGTTTGTGGCTTAGACTGTTCACCAGCCACTCCAGATAGTCATCATACATGTACTCTGTAATTCTGCTACGTTCAATCTCAAGGTCAGTGAGGGCCCTTGGCGGGCAGGCCTGCTGATCACCAGCTTCCACGTCTCCAGGGCTTTACTGTCTACTCCATGGCAGCCACTCTCATCAGGCATCTTACAAGGTCACCCTCCCTGTTTTGGTTACTAGGAATTGCACATGAGAATCCGCAAAGGTCTCAGGAGCTACTGCTGATGAATACCAAGGATCTATTGTACTGACTTGGTAGTGACATTTATGATGTTCAAATACAATAGCTTTTGGAACCGTGTGTTCCAAAAAGGGTACTGTCAGCTTTTCTGCTTCTTATTTATTTTCCAAATGACATAATAACAATTTTTAAGTAGATATTTTTAAAAAGTTCATTCACCCCCAATAGAAATAGATATTTAGAATGAGCTTTTTTTTTTCAATCGAACCTCATGTTATACACAATGTGCATTCAGTAGATAAAACTATTTCAGATTATCATTGGGGATCAAGCAAGAACCTGAATGCTGAGCTCTTTGCCATTGTGAAGTGTACAAGAAGGTATAGTTCCACAGGAAAACGAGGATGGACCACAATTACCTAGATCTTATCTCCAGTAACTGAAGGCTTCCCCATAATAAGCCCTACAATTGTCCCTTCCAAATATTTTTTCATTATGTATATAAAACTTCCAAGTACATTCATAAACCTTTGAAAGAAGACACATTTATAGGAGATTTTCACATATAAAGATAATTATCACTATACTCCTAGCTGAGTCACTGAAACAAGACAGAACAGGTTTTACTCTTACCTGAGCACAAGATTAGGAATCAGTAGAATTAGCATTACACGAAGCCATGCATGTGGAACGTTTGCTATTAAGAAATGTTGGCTGAACCCCAGCCTGTTTGGATTCTTCTGAGTCAAGCTGATGCCTGGGGGATGTTGTACAGCATTGGCAACACCAGGCATCTTGTTAGAAATGCACAGTCTCAGGCCACACCCGTGACCTACTGAAGCAGAATCCGCATTTCCCACCGATCCCAGGGTTTTGAAATGTACAATGAAATCTGAAAAGCACTACTCTAGGAAGGCATTTGTTAATTGATATATTTTCCTATGAACCGGTTCTTTGGACACTCTCAATGCAATTACAGGACTTGTACTGACTTATATGCTCAGCATCTCGCTCCTCAAACTAGCCTCATCATAAAAGTCACCTTGGAGTGTGTATTTCTGGGCTGACTTGCTAGAGGTTCTCATTCAGCACAGTGGTCCCCAACTGTTTTGGCACCAGGGACCAGTTTTACGGAAGATCATTTTTCCATGGATTGGTGGGGGGGTGGAGGGGGAAAGGTTTCAGGATGATTCAAGCACATTACATTTACTGTGCAGCCAAACCTCTCTGCTAATGATAATCTGTATTTGCAGCCACTCCCCAGCACTAGCATCACTGCCTCAGCTCCAGCTCAGACCACCAGGCATTAGATTCCCATAAGGAATGTGCGACCTAGATCCCTCGCATGCACAGTTTACAATAGGGTTCATGCTGATCAATCTAATGTGCTGCTGATCTGACAGGAGGCGGAGCTTATGCAGCGATGGGAGCAATGGGAAGTGGCTGTTAATAGAGATGGAGCTTTGCCTGCTCACTTGCTCTCCGCCGCTCACCTCCTGCTGTGTGGCCAGTTCCTAACAGGCCATGGACCGGTACCCATCTGTGGCCCTGGGGTTGGAGACCACAGATTTAGCAGGTCAGGGATTGGGTCCAAGAATCTGTATTTTCACCATATCCTTCAAGTGATCTAGTTCCTTTGGGTAGCACTGTCTCAGTTTTCCTCTGGGTGACCCCGAGTTTCACAGGATCAAATAAAGTACTGATAAAACAAAAAACTGTTTGAATCACCTAGGCATGTTAGAGAAACAAAAATACATTTTACAGTAATCCCAAAACACATTGTAAACAACTATCTACCCTAATAAAATTGTCCAAACCAGATTCGATCTTACTGGCCTTAGGATTATGTCAAACTTTCATGTTTAAAACGAAATCAAACAAGGGAATGAGTGAGAATCTTCAGGATTCTGGGAGGCAGAGTCTATTTGTTCTGCTTTTATGCTGGTGCTGTTTGCATAGGAGATAATTTATTATTGTCTTCTAGCTACGCAGGGAGTCATGTGCTGCGACGGCTCTTATGTTGCTGACAAGCTAGGCTGGCCCTGAATAAACAGCACTTCATCATCTACACAACCCAACTGTAGACACAGGTTGGCATTTATTCCCCCCATCTGCCTTCTACCTGATAAATTACTGTTTTAGTTACACGTATACAAATACTATTTGTTAATCTGCTCAAATGTCTCTAAAATGTTTCCCTCCACCTTAAATTAAAATTATATACATACATATGTATATGTCTCCCACTCAATTTGCTAAAGGTTTAGAAAATAAGGGGACCTTCCCCTCCCTTTTAACCTACCACCCCCATCCCAGTCCCCCACGCACCTTCTGCATTTACGACCCCAGCCTATACTTGCTGCATGGAATTTAGAAAGTTACTTTACTAAGCATTGCAATTGGGAATTGACTGGCAAAATCTCAGACTAATCCCACCAGTTAGGAAGGAAGGCAAATGCTCCCTGTCACAGTCCTTTGTCACCTGTGGTTCCAAAGATTCAATCGTTAAACATTTTAGAGGTCATGAGTCTTTTTGCCGGAGTAATTTCTAGGTTTTGGAAGGAGTGGGGAGGCCTGGAAAGGTGCGGAGAAAAAGGCCAAAAGCTAAGGTGTAGGTCCCAAGGTCCCTAAAAGAAGCTGAAGATCAGGATGACTAGGGCAAGGAAACAGAAGTGATATAGCTCCCCTCGAACTAATACAAAAACTGAAATAGTGATAGTGATGCAGTGTCCAATAGATTTACTACGCTCGTGGTTGAAAGTGCACAGGCAAATGGAGTGGAAAATTTCATTCTCACAAAATCCTATTTTACTTTTTATTCTGTTGCTCTGAAAAAATTTATCTTTATGCTACATGCTGGTAGATTTCAGTGCAGCACATGAAGTAAAAGAGATTGAAATAATGACTTGTAAACACTTGAGTACCTGAATGTGGATATCCCTTGAGAGAGAAGAACACCCCCTCTTCTTACATCACTCATACACGCTCACCTTCTGTTGCCTTCTCAAGCCCTCCTGTCAGTATCTGGCCCCGTCATTCCACTGGAACTGCTCTTCTTGAAAGTACCCATCACTTCCAGGTTTACAAATCTCTTTCCTGTTCTTACCCTATTTGACTTCTCTGCAGTATTCCGTAAGGTTGACCCTCCCTCTTTTTTGGAACACTTAATTCCTTCACCTTCCTGACATCACACTCGTTGTTCTTCTCCCAACTCTTCAGCTACTCTTCAGTCATCTTTGCTGGTTGCTCTTCCTTATTTAGAGCTGCCAGTTCACTGCCCCAACTTTGTTTCCTGACCACTTTCTCTTCTTTCTCTATACATTCTCCTTGGTGATCTTATCCAGTCACATGGCTATAACATCGTCTATCTGCCAGTGACGATGGAATCTACACCCATGTGAGGTCTCCATGTAGCCATCTAAGAAACATCTCAAATAAAACATGGTCACCTCCTCCCCAGCTTCCTCCATTTTATTAAACAGCGTCACCATCCACCCAGTC